TGAAGGAAAAAACAGAGTTAACGTTTCAGGTCCAGTGACCCTTCCTTGGAACCGGACTCGAAACGTTATCTCTGTTTTTTCCTTCACCGATGCTGCCAGACCTGCTGAGCTTTTCCAGCAATTTCTGTTTTGTGTCCAGGATTTTAACTTAACCACAAATGGTTTTCATTAAAAAAATCTTGGCATCCAAGCTTGATGACAAATGGATGTAAAACTATAGTTAATAAATTCTTGTAACTTGAACCGATTTCTGCTCCATTTCATCACTGGTTGCAAATTAGCTTTGGTTTCTATAAAGTTCACCTCACAATTTTTTATTACCTATTTTCTGACATGGTACCTCATTATTGGAAGGGTTGAATGATCTACTGCTCTTAAAATTGTCCTCATTCTCTTTAAAGCACTATGTCTCATCATTAGTAATGCTACAGAAAATCTTCTTCTTAGGCACTCCCTTGTGTTTAAGGAGTTTAACTCCTGTTTCATGGATTCTGAGATGGTTGATACGTTTAATATGGAATCTGTAGACTCTGCTACATGCAGGACAGAGTTGGGTAAATGGATTGTTTGGAAGCTAGTGAAGTTGCTCCAAAGTCATGACTTTATGCATATTTGTGACAATGTCTCTCAATATGTTCAGTGCCTACCTGAATTAACCTCCTCCATTTTTGTCAGTCACAAGCCAAGGATTCCCATGAATCAGTGGGTGTGTTTGACCTCTTCAAGCATGATTTGAGGACATTCCTAAAGTGCTTCTACTGGGAATTTCAACAAATACTTGCATATTGTATATACACACTTCACCTTCTGACATTTGGTTATACTTTTATGTCAACATTTGTCAGGCTCATTGGCCTACTCCAGTTCCTATTTATTTTGGGTTATCAGTTTCTACACTAACAGTTATTCTGTTTTACACTGGTGGCTCATATTTAACCAGAAATACAACAATGTATAGGATGTTCAAAGAAGGATTTACGATGGGTCTAAAGTACCAGCTTAAGGTCTGAGTTCGGTGAAGATGTATACAAAAACAGAAATTACTGGAAAAGCTCAGCAGGTCTGGCAGCATCTGTGAAGAGAAATCAGACCCAAAACATTAAAGCTGATTTCTCTTCATAGATGCTGCCAGACCTTCCGAGCTTTTTCAGCGATTTCTGCTTTTGTTTCTGATTTACAGATTTTTTTGTTTTTTGTATGATATATATATAAAATTTCAGGCAAAATTGTAATAGAGAACTGAAATGAAATCAGAGAAGACTGGAAAACCTCAGCAGATCTGGTAGCATCAGTGGAGAGAGAAACAGATTTAACATTTTAGGTTGTGACTTTAATTAATGTGGGTGTTGCTGGCTGGCCAGCATTTCTTGCTCATCTCTAGTTGCGCTTTTGAAGGTGGTGGTGAGCTGCCTTCTTGAACCGCTGCAGTCCACCCACTGTGGGTTGACATACAATGCCATTAGGGAGGGAATTCCAGGATTTGGACCCAGCAACAGTGAAGGAACGGTGATACATTTCCAAGTCAGGATGGTGAGTAGCTTGGAGGGGAACGTGAAAGTGGTGGTGTTCCCATTATATATGCTGCCCTTGTCATAGGATCCCTCCAGTGTGGAAACAGGCCATTTGGCCCAACAAGTCCACACCGTCCCTCCAATGAGCATCCCACCCTGATTCATTCCCCTACTCCCTGCATTTCCCCATGTCTAACCAAACATCCCTGGAGACTATGGGCAATTTAGCATGGCCAATCCACCTAGCCTGCACATCTTTGGACTGTGGGAGGAAACCGGAGCACCCAGAGGAAACCCCCGCAGACACAGGGAGAACGTGCAAACTCCACACAGACAGTCGCCCGAGGGTGGAATTGAACCCGGGTCCCTGGCGCTGTGAGGCAGCAGTGCTAACCACTGAGCCATCATGCCACTGTGTCCTTCTAGATGGAAGTGGTCTTCGGTGAATTTCTGCAGTGCATCTTGTATATAGTACACATTGCTACTACTGACCATCGATGGTGGAGGGAGTGGATGGTTGTGGATGCAGTGCCAATCAAGTGGGTTGCTTTGTCCTGCATGGTGTCAAGCTTGTTGAGTGTTGTTGGGGTTGCACCCATCCAGGCAAGTGGGGAGTATTCCAGCGCCCTCCTGACTTGTGCCTTGTAGATGGTGGACAGGCTTCCAAGAGTCAGGAGGTGAGTTGCTCGCCATAGTACTCCAAGCTTCTGACCTGCTGTTGCAGCAACTGTGTTTATGTGGTGAGTCCAGTTGAGTTTCTGGTCAATGATAACTCCCAGGATGTTGTTAGTGGGGGATTCAGTGATGGTAACACCATTAAATGTCAAGGGACAGTAGTTAGATTGTGTCTTATTGGTGATGGTCATAGCCTCGCATTTGTGTGGTGTGAATGTTATTTCCCGCTTGTCAGCCCAAGCCTGGATATTGTCCAGATCTTGTTACATTTTGGCATTGAGTGTTTCAGTGTCTGAGGAATCACGAATGGTGCTGAACATTGTGCAATCATCGGTGAACATTCCCATTTCTGACCTTATGATGGAGGGAAGGTCATTGATGAAGCTGCTGAAGATGGTTGGGCCTAGGACACTACCCTGAGGAACTCCTGCAGAGATGTCCTGGAGCTGAAATGATTGACCTCCAACGATCATGAGTCAGGTATGACTCTAACCACCTGAGAATTTGCCCCCTGATACCCATTGATTCCAGTTTTGCTAGGGCTCCTTGATGCCACACTCGGTCGAGCAGCCTTGATGTCAAGGGCTGTCACTCTCATCTCACCTATGGAATTCAGCTGTTTTGTCCATGTTTGAACCAAGGCTGTACTGACGTCAGGAGTTGACTGGCCGTGGTGGAACCCAAACTGGGTATCACTGAGCAGGTCATTACTGAGCAGGTACTGCTTGATAGCACTGTTGATGACACCTTCCATCAATTTACTGATGATCGACAGTAGATTGATGGGGCAGTAATTGGCCAGGTTGGATTTGTCCTGCTTTTTGTGTACAGGATGTACTTGGGCAATTTTCAACGCTGTCGGGTAGATATCAGTGTTGTAACTGTACTGGAACAGCTTGGCTAGGGGAGCAGCAAGTTCTGGAGCACAAGTCTTCAGTACTATTGCAGTATCCAGTGCCTCCAACCTTTTATTGCTATCATGTGGAGTGAATCCGATTGGCTGAAGACTGGTATCTGTAATGCTGGGGACCACTGGAGAGGCCGAGACGGATCATCCATTCGACTCTTCTGGCTGAAAATTGCTATAAAGGCTTCAGCCTTATCTTTTGCACTGACGTGCTGAGCTCTTCCATCATTGAAATTGGGGATATTTGTGGAGCCTCCTCCTCCAGTGAATTGTTTATCATCCACCAGCATTCGTGACTGGATGCAGCAGGACTGCAGAGCTTAGATGTGCCTATCACTTGCTGCTTATGCTGTTTGGCAATGGAAACAGTCCCGTTTGGTGGCTTTACCAGGTTGACACCTCACCTTCAGCCTGGTGCTGCTCTTGGCATGCCCTCCTACACTCTCCATTGAACTAGGGTTTATCCCTTGGTTTGATGGTAATGGTTGAGTGGGGGAATATGTTGGGCCATGAGGTTACAAATTGTGCTGGAGTACAGTTCTGCTGCTGTTGATGGCCCACAGCGCCTCATGGATGCCCAGTCTGGAGTTGCTAGGTCTGTTCAACGTCTGTCCCATTTAGCACAATGATAATGCCACACAACACAATGGAAGTCATTCTCAATGTGGAGGCCAGACGTCGTCTCCACAAGGACTGTGTAGTGGTCCCTCCTACCGATACTGTCATGGACAGAAGCATCTGCAGATGGCAATTAGTGAGGATGAGGTCAAGTATGTTTTTCCCTCTTGTTGGTTTCCTCACCACCTGCCGCAGACCCAGTCCTTTAGGACCCGACCAGCTCGAGCTTGCATCAAAATACAGCGCAGTAAAACTTTGTTGAGTCAGGTATATTCCCAGAAACTAGTGAGATTGTATTTTGGAAGTTAAATCGAATGTACAGTCCACAAATTGTCACAACCCAGCCCGATTCACGAACAATGATGCGGGGAAATATTTCCCAATCACGCTCTCAAAAATATCACTTCTTCCTTTATCCGTTGCAATTTACGGGAATACATATAATCCGCGTTGATTCCAGGGTTTTTTTTTTAATGGATCGATGGAAAGTCCCTGCGGTACTCCAGGTGGAAGAAATGAGCAATGACTCCGACTGTGAACTGGAATTATGCGTAGAACTACAACTCCCATAGTGCACCGTGCACCACCGGAGGGGAAGGCGCCTGCGCATTGTGTGCTGCCGGTGTTTGTAGTCTCATGACGGGCCAGAAGCGCTTTACGGTGACGATGGAGAACTATAATTCCCAGGATGCGCGGCAAGCAGCTGCACATGCGCGCGGGGCCCTTTCTAGCCTGAAACGGCCGCCATCTTTCGGCTACAGAGGATATCGGGGAGACTGTTGGTCGGATTGCGCTTTGGGGGTGATGGTGAGTATCAGAGGCTGGCAGCAGTCCCAGGCGGTGGCCGTGCATCTGTGAATTCCTTAGGATGCGGCCCGAGCGCAGGTTGGACCAAAGAGCGCGTCGAAAGCTGGTTCTGATTGTGTTGGGGGTGGACGGAGTGAGGATGAAAACTGACCTCCCCCTCCCCCTCCCTCAGTGACAGGTGCATAGACCGAGCTCATCTGTAGAGGGTCTCCCTTTCCCCAGGCAGTGGGGGCGGCAGTAAGGAGAGTGGGAAGGGGGATTGAAAGGAGGGCATGATGAGCGAGGGGAAATGGGAGGTATGAGAGGAGTGGAGAGAGGACGTTCAGGGGATAGGGGGAGGGAAAGGTGAAGGGAAGGCGTCCTCGGGGGGTTGGAGGTGAGAGACCTCACCGAGGGATGGTTATGTGGAGGAGAGTGCAGATCCCTGATTGTGGAAGTGGGGAGAAGACAGCCCGTACCTGGTTTGGAGTTGGGGCAGGGGTAAGTAAAAAAGCCCCCCCCCCCCCCCCCCGACCCATGCACAGAGAACAAAGGGCCCTCACCAGCACCAGAAGGAGAGTGGGATATGGAGATGTGTGGTTGTGGTTAGGAGCCATCACCTGAGCCAACGGAGGTGGTTTGGGGGAGGAGAAGGTGTGTGTGGGGGGAAGGTGGTGGTGTTGGAATGTTGCTTCAGGGGCCTTTCCCTGAATTGAGGAGAAAGGTGGTGGGGCACTACATTGGCATGGGTGCAAGGCATGTTGTTCATGGTGGGACCCTGAACTGAGCTGCAAAGATGGGCTTTTGGCGCATCTAACTTAGGTCATAGAGGAGGCCTTTTGCAGTGCTAGTGTAAGCCAGGGAGGTGGAGGGAGGTTCTCACCTAGGCTGAGTGTAGCTTGGATAGTGACACATAGATAGCAAGAACTGCAGATGCTTGAATCAGAGACAACAGTGTGGAGCTGGAAGAACACAGCAGGTCAGGCAGCATCAGAGGAACAGGAAAGTTGACATTTCGGGTTGGGACCCTTCTTCAGAAATTCCTGACCGGAAATGTCAACTTTCCTGCTTCCCTGATGCTGCTGACCTGCTGTGTTCCTCCAGCTCCACACTGTGTTGTATTGGATAATGACATTGCTTGTTCACAAGCCACAATATACAAGGATGGGCTGTGTGGTAGTTGGACCTCTGTCAGTCTCCATATATTCACAAATGAAGCTGCTCAACGTTCTGCTTTTTATATTTGAATATAGTTGTAAGAAAAAGTGGAAAGTGCCAGTAGATTTAGTTTTGTATGGTGAGAATGAAAGATATCCTTCAATGCTGCAAATGTTTGTGGGTCTTATTAGATGCCTGCAAATAAAGAATTTGACTGGGTAGGAATAGGGGCTAATTGGTATTATGTCATACGGTTCCAGCTGCAAGTACTGTACAGATATAGAACAAGCCCCACATCCACACGTGCTTTTTCCTTCATGCTTCATTCATACTCTTTATGTGCAACTTAAAAAGTGATTTTTCTCTTATCACACTCTTTTATTGGATGATTAGCCAGTCAACTGTCTTCTGCAGCAAAGAGGGTGTTGACACTGCAGGTGATTCGCTGTGTGCAGTTAAAATCTGCAAAGTAACAAATCTTGCATACTCCAACTTTAATATATACTTTGCAGGATAATCAAAAAATTGTTGACAAGATGTACCATGTGCATGTAAGATGGTGTAGTGTCAGATACCTCAGTGTATATATATGGTGTATTGAATTGCAAAGATTCCCTTCCAAGAATCTGTAATTCTGCATACTGTTATGCAGTTTCATTTCTGAAAGGCATTTTAAGGATGGGCTCATGGAGTGTCTGCTATATGTGGTTTGTGTGATCATGAGACATTTTAATAATCGCAACCTTTCTGAAGATTATGATTTTGGTCCTAGGAAGAACATTAGAAAGATTGTTTATTACCATTTAGTTACTTCGTAAACACTATGCTAAAATGTGTTGTTTTTTTTAAAAGCCAGGCCATCTGAATGAATCCTAGTGGTAAAATTCCCTGCACTGAAGCACAATGCTGTAATAGGTTTACATTTTCCTGTGCTACTAACTGACAGGCGCATTGTGGAAGAAATTATTTTCCTTGCACTGTTTGGGAACCTAGGGTGTGTACTTAACCTCATTCCCTAGGAAAGGTTGCTCTTAAATATGTCTCGACTGGTAGTATGCTTCTAACCCAGGTGCTTTCAGCCTTTCTCAAGAACAGTTGAAATGAGAGATAATGGGATAATGAACAGCTGCAACCATCACTGCAAGTTGTTGCCTAGAAAAATGGGGAATAGCTGATGGTGACCAAGGATCAACGCTGTTTGGCTGTCAAGCCTGTGGACGTTTTACATGCCTTACAACTGGCAGGAATGCTCAACTGCTTGAAATGAAAACATCTTTTTGAAATCCCAAGCAGTGCAATTATGTTATTTCTGATCCTGCAAAATGATGCCAATTAGTAGAGGCTGGATTGCACAGCAGGTTTATTTTTGTTTCCAGCTTGATAATTTGCATTCAGTTCTAGATAAGACTGATAGAACCCTCAACATCAACAGACAGGACAGTTTATGACAAAATGAGTTTCAACAATCTTCCCCGTTTTTAGCACATAGGCCACTAAAATATCCCTTGCTCACCACTAATTAGCAATGATTGCAGTATCATTGCAGATGCCGCAGTATCATTGAAGATGCCACAGTATCATTCACGAATTGATGTATATAACGTGTTTTAAATAAGATCCACATGTAAGTCGAGTATTGGAAACGTTACCTGAACTGTGATACGTGTATTTTGAGTGTGATTGATGTTGGCAGAGAAATGTTGCATTTTCATTTTCTCAATATGCAGTAAAAAAATGCTTAAGAATGATTCTGTGGGTTAGAATTATCCCTTTTTGCATATCTGACCCTTTACACCCCTCCCCATTTCCATCACCTGACTATTGGCGGTACCTTCAGATTTCCGGGCCCCAAATTCTTGAATTCATGTTTTTAATATGTGTATCAGCATTCATTAAAACCCACTTCTATTGAGCCCATGATACTAATGTCATCTGTTGCTCAATATCAATTTTTGTATGATTACATTTCTGGGAAGCACCTAGGGATGTCCAGTTAATGTAAGTGCTATCTAATTGTACTGTTCTTTTACAACAATTTACAGTTAGATTTTAGTTTAGCTAAGAAGGCACTGAGCTAGGAGTAATGACAGTCTTTCTACTAAAAAAAAAGTTTAGAATTTTCAGGACATAGTTATGTTCTGAAAATGCATTGATTTAGCTAACATCACAAAGTAACATTACTGAATTATTTTCTTTTTCCTTGATTGAAGGAAGGATTGGAGAGGTGGTAGTGTGTTGGGAAAAAAATAATCAATAATTAGACCTCGAATGCACCAGAATTAACTACCAAAAACACAGGAAAAATAACTGGAATTTTTCTTCTGAATTGAAAGTTGCTGAGAGAATAGGGTACTAGAAATTCCACTGAAGAGTACAATTGAAAAAGGAAGTCTCCTGGGCAATCCCCACTTCTGCAAGCTTTAACACCATGTATTAGTTTACTGTTATTAACCGTGCTATGAAGGCATTCTTTGAAGTACGAAATGAAAATTCGTTCTTAGCCAGTGCTGATTTGTGGATGTTTTTCTTGGCTAATTTTGTCATTAGTCCTTCCTGTCTTCCAGCCCCTAGCTGCTATAAGAGCGTGGTTCTGTTGGTAACCCCTGGGGACTTTATCAGGCAGTGACAGCTGACAGACTTTTTCCCCCCAGTCTACGTTTTTTAAAAATTTTGTCCTTAGTATTTTGAGGTGCTGTGTAGCCATAACTGATCTTGTTCTTGCCATAAGCCCCTATAACTAGCATGTGCAAAAGCAAAGCTGCAGTTGCTAGAAATCTGAACACAAGGAAGGAATTGTTCGGAAATGGGGGAGGGAAAGGGGCTCAAATAAATAGAGAGAGGGGGAGGCGATGATAGAAGGTGGGTAGTGGAGCCGGACAGGTCAAGGAGGTGGGGATGAAGCCACCTTTGAGTGTAGGTAGGGAGTTGGTCAGTGAGGAGGGACAGTTCATCCACTTTACTAACACCTTCCACCCCAACCTTAAGTTCACCTGGACTGTCTCTGATACCTCTCTCTCCTTCCTGGACCTCTCTGTCTCCATCTCTGGTAACCACCTGGAAACTGATATCTATTTCAACCCACCGACTCCCACAGCTATCTAGACTACACCTCCTCTCACCCACCTTCCTGCAAGAATACTATCCCCTATTCCCAATTCCTTCGCCTCCACCGCATCTGCTCAAAATGAGGCGTTCCACTCCCGGACATGCCAGATGTCCTCGTCTTTCAAGGACCACAAGTTCCCCTCCACAGTGGTCAAAAATGCCCTCGACCACAACTCTTGTGTTTCCCGCACCTCAGCCCTCACACCCCCTCCCCCCAATAACAGCAAAGACAGAATTTCCCTTGTCGTCACGTATCACTCCATCAACCTCCAGATTCAATGCATCATTCTCTGCCACCTGCAATCTGACCCTACTACCAAGGATATATTTCCCTCCCCACCCTTATCTGCCTTCTGGAGGGACCGCTCTCTCCGCGACTCCCTCGTTCGCTCCACACTCCCCTCTAGCCCCACCACCCTTTGCACTTTTCTCTGCAACCACAGGAAGTGCTACATCTGCCCCTACGCCTCTCCCCGCACCTCCATCCCAGGCCCCAAGAAAACCTTCCACAGTAAACAGATGTTCACCTGCACATCCGCTAATGTGTTATATTGTATCCACTGTTCCCGATGTGGCCCCCTCTACATCGGGGAAACCAAGCGGAGGCTTGGAGATCGCTTTGTGGAGCATCTACGCTTGGTTCGTGATAAACGACAACGCTTCCCAGTCGCGAACCACTTCAGCTCCCCCTCCCACTCCTTGGACGACATGTCCATCCTGGGCCTTCTCCAGTGCCACAACAATGCCACCTGAAAACTGGAGGAACAGCACCCCATATTCTGCCTGGGAACCCTGCAGCCCAATGGTCTCAATGTGGACTTTACAAGCTTCAAATTCTCCCCACACCCGACCTCATCCCAAGACCAGCCCCACTCGTCCCTGCCTCCTTGCCCTGTCCGTCTTCTCTCCCACCTACCTGCCCCTCCCTCTTCACTGACCAATCCCCCATCCCAACTCCCTACCTACACTCACCTGTACTGGCTTCATCCCTGCCTCCTTGACCTGTCCGTCTTCTCTCCACCTGTCGGCTCCACTATCTACCTTCTTTCATCACCTCCCCCTCTCTCTATTTATTTCAGAACCCCCATCCCCTCCACCATTTCTGAAGAAGGGTCCAGACCTGAAACGTCAGCTTTCCTGCTCCTCTGAAGCTGCCTGGCCTGCTGTGTTCATCCAGCTCTACACCTTGTTATCTCAGATTCTCCAGCTTCGGCAGTTCCTACGATCTCTGAAGGAATTGTTCAGCTGTTTTAGCAGCGTCTGAGGAGATAGAAGCAGTTAACACTGCAAGACCTGTAACCTTTCATCAGTGCTAACAGAATTTGGGAATGTATGAGGATTTGAGCAAATGAAAGTGAAAAGTGAGAAGAATAAAAGAGAAGTATGAAAGTCAGATGAAGTAATTAAAGGAATAGGAGTGGTAGTAGGACTAGGAAAAAAGCGGAACTGTGCCTCAGGGAGGTCTGATCAGTGGGATCCTGAATATCTAATGTGTGGAAAGAAAGTGGAACCGACAGAAACAAATGAAACATGTGGGTGGAGTAGCGGGGAAGAGGTTATGATGTAAAATAGCTAAACTTGAATTGAGTCCTGAAGGCTAGTATGGTATTCAGTCAAAAGATGTCTTGCTGTTGCTCAAGCATGTGTTGGGGTTTATTGGAATACTTTGTGAAGCCAAAGCTAAAAATTGACCCCAGATACCAAACACACCCTCAGTATAAGATGCTCCACAATTTGAATCATCTTGATGAAATTCCCTCTGTGCCCCTTTAAAATGGTATAGGGGAGGTGCCAAATGGGTTACTATTGCATACCATTCTCTGCCACTCCAGTCTTCCTTGGGGTTACACCCTACATTCTGGTGACAGGGATCTGCAATGGAGGGCCCTTTGTAAGTGGCCCCTCCTCTTTCATTGGAGATATGGCTTGGAGAGTGTTGCACAAGTTCGTCCCATATAATAAAAGGATAAGGAGGTTCACTAAGTGTCAGGTCATGTAGTTTTTATGGCTTGGAGAAAATTGTGTGCTTTGTGTTTATGTTGAATTCTTTTGTTTGCAGCCCCCATTTGGTTTCTTAAAGGGGCTGGTTTTAAACTTATTGTTGCACTTCTGCATCACGCTCCTACTCTGGGCACCCTGTGTGGTGATGGTGGTAGGTAGGCGTGTTCAGATCAGACATTTTCCTCGTCGGCCTGCTTCTGAGGCCTAGCCAAATTGCCATCAGCAGATCCAGGCAACAGACTATAGAAGGAGTAGTAGTGCCAATTGTCTGTCCCACTTCCATGATAATGTCAACCCTTGAATGTCCCTTGAGAAGGAGCATTCATGTCTACTGGCACAATAAAGGCTTTCGTGGAATGGTGAGCACCACCAGGTCTGGGTACATCATCACCCCTAATAATGATGTTTTGATTTAATTTTGAGTTTCCATTGCCAATTCTGAATGTTTCTGTTGACTGTTTGATTTTGTTTTTATTATAGTGCTCCACCCACCTACAGTGCAAGCTAATTTGTTGAAGTTTTGTTTTGAATGAGTAGAAGGGTCAGACTGGAATCAGGATGGAATATTAAGGTGGCAGGTTAGTGAAAGTTCAGAATCATTTGCTGATAAAAACAGAATTGCACTACAAGTTCACCCAGTTTGTATTTGACTCACCTAACGTAGGTGAGTTCACCCTATGAGCGGTGAAGTCGATCTATGTTTCATCTTGAATTACTGTTTGGGGCCTTGAAAGGTGAGAAGTGAGGAATTAAAATGGCAAGTGTTGCAGTTCCTTGGTTTGCATAGAAAATTGCTGTATGGGAGGGATGTGGATTTGGTGATGGCTAAGGAATGGACCAGGGTAATGCAGTAGCAATGGTCACTTTAGAATGCTGAAGAGAGAGTCAAGTTGTGTTTGGTGACATCATGCTGGAGATGACAGAAGGTATTCTATTGAGCCTGTTGTTAAGGCCAAGAGGCCATTGGCTTATCAAGTCCACGCAGGCTCTCTGTACAGCAACAAAGTCAGTGTCACTCCCTCCTTGCTGTCGATGTAGCCCTTAATTTATTTCCTTTGAATACCAGTCCAGTTTTATGTGAAATTATTCATCTCTGTCGCCATCACCTTACATACACTCAGTTTCAGGTCATTACCGCTCAGAATGTAAAAAAAAAAAAAAATTTCTTCCTCACAACTTTGAATCCCCAAAACTTAATCCTTGTGTTATGAATGTGGCTGAAAAGTGAACTGTAATGATGACCATTTTGCAGAGTTTGAGGCAAGTTATCACACTCTTGTTGCCATACAACTAATATTGTGTAGTTTGCGATAGACCAGGAATAGAATGAAGCGTTTGTGACCACTGTGGCTTGTAGAGCAGTGTAAGCTCCTGTAGTGAGTAGTCAATTATGGGACCAGTCATTAACAACAGCATTTGATTGTATGTTTTTTTTTCTGTAACATTCTTCTCTTAAGGAATGCTTTTATGTGGCTCCATTAGACAATATATTAATAACCTGACTGAAGCATGATTCAGTTTGCTCATTTTTATTGAGTAAAGCATAGAATATTGTCTGGTAGGGCTCTTGTGGTGCAGTGGTATTGTCCATATGTCTGAGCCAGAGGGCCCAGGTTCAAATCCCACCTTCTGAGATATGTAATAACATTTCTGAACAGGTTGATTAGAAAATATCTGGAGTCCTATCTGGTTATTTTGTCTGGTGAATCATTGTAGCTCACAAGTCTACAGATTGCCAACAAAAATAATAGAGATACAAACAGAATATTTCTTCACTTTCTCAAGCACTAGATATCTTCATTTCGTATATGGATTACACACTACCTATATAAGTTGAGCCAGAGAGCCAAGAATTTGTCTACCTTTGCCTTTTTAAAATAAAATCAATGGTTACTCCCTCAACTATAACGTTTCATAATTTTCTGAAAGAATTGGGACTGTCTGAGACAAAAGCAGTTTTAAAGCGCTGCAGTAGCCATTTGGGCTGAATGGGGTCTGATTAATGGATGTGCAATTCCCCGATTTTTGTTTTCGCACAAGACCTGGACCAGCTCTCTCATGTTCTAAATTCAGATCAATTTTTCCCAAGGGATTTGCTTTCCTGCTAAAATCCCAACATTCTTGTAAAGTGTTTCTAGTAAGTAAAGCTCTTTGCTGGAAGAATTCCATTTATGTAGCATCATCTTAATGTAGAAAAAATGTTGGCGCTTAAGCATATGTCAAAAACGATGTTTGGTGAATTTATTTATACCCACAGCTGTATTACACAGGATTGAATATTTCCTAGTCATTGAAGGGGCTGTTGTGATAGTGTCTCTATCCCTGAGCCAGGAGGCTTGTGTTCGAGTCCCACATGTTCCAAAGGTATGTAATAACATCTCTCTACAGGTTGATTCGAAAATACCCAGTCATTGATAGAAACCTTTCTGAAATTGTTGCATTATTTTGCTGAATGTTACAATGTTACAACTACTCTATTGGTAACTCTCTTTCGGTAGTCATGTAGCAGTTTTGTGAGCTAGTCTTTGCTTCCCATTACAGAAAGGGGCTGCTTTGCAAACTTAAGCTTTAAAGATCAGGATCATTCAGTGCAAGTTAATTCAGTTATGGTAAGTTAACTACTGAAATTTATAAGGGTCTTTATCTATTTGGGTGGCATGCTGACGCAGTGGTTAGCACTGCTGCCTCGTGGTGCCAGGGACCCAAGTTCGAACCCAGCCTTGGGTGACTGACTGTGTGGAGTTTGCATGTTAGACAGTTGTAGAGATGTACAGCATGGAAACAGACCCTTCAGTTCAACTTGACCATGCAGACCGGATATCTTAAATTAATCATTTGCCAGCATTTGGCCCATATCCCTCTAAATCCTTCCTATACATGTACCCATCCAGATGCCTTTTTAAATGTTGTAATTGTACCAGCCTCTTCCACCTCCTCTGGCAGCTCATTCCATACACACACCACCCTCCCCATGACAAAGTTGCCTCTTAGGTCCTTTTAAATCTTTCCCCTCTCACCATATACCTATGGTATGGTTTTGGACTCCCCTATCCCAGGAAGAAGTCCTTGGCTATTCACCCTATCCATGCCCCCTAATGATTTTATAAACCTCTATAAGGTCACCTGGCAACCTCCAATGCTTCAGAGAAAATAGCCCCAGCCTATTTGGCCTCTCCCTATGGCTCAAACCCTCCAACCCTTATAAATCTTTACAGAACCCTTTCGAGCTTTACAACATCTTTCCTATAGCACAAAGACCAGAATTGAACATAGTATTTCAAAAGTGGCCTAACCAATGTTCTTTACAGCCGCAACATGACCTCCTAACTCCTAAACTTAATATATTGACCAATAAGGGCAAGCATACGAAACGCTGCCTTCACTATCCTGTCTACCTGCAACTCCACTTTCAAGGAACTATGAGCCTGCACTCCAAGATCTCTTTGTTCAGCAACACTCCCCTGAACCTGACCATTAAATGTAAAGCCCTGCCCTGATTTGCCTTACCAAAATGCAACATCTCACATTTATCTAAATCAAACCCCATTTGCCACTCCTCAGCCCATCTGATTAACGTTCCATTGTACTCTGAGGTAACCTCCTTCACTGTCCACTACAACACCAATTTTGGTGTAATCTGCAAATTTACTAACCATGCCTCCTATGTTCACATCCAAATCATTTATATAAATGACAAAGCAGTGGACCCAGCACCAATCTTTGCAGCACACCACTGGTCACAGGCCTCCAGTCTGAAATGCAACCCTCCACTACCATCCTCTGTCTCTTACCTTCGAGCCAATTTTGTATCCAAATGGCTGGCTCTCCCTGTATTCCATGTGATCTAACCTTGCTAACCAGTCTGCCATGCAGAACCTTGTTGAATGCCTTTCCGAAGTCCATATAGACAATGTCCACTGCTCTGCCTTCATCAATCTTCTTTGTCACTTCTAAAAACTCAAGCAAGTTAGTGAGACATGATTTCCCATGCACAAAACCATGTTGACTATCCATAATCAGTCCTCGCCTTTCCAAATTCATGTAAATCCTTTCCCTCGGAATCGCCTCCAGCAACTTACCCACCACTGATGTCAGGCTCACCAGTCTATAGTTCCCTGCGTTTTGCTTACCACCTTCCTTAAATAATGCTAACCTCCAGTCTTCCAGCGTTTCACCCATGGCTATCGATGATACAGATATCTCAGCGAGGGGCCCAGCAATCACTTCCTTAGCTTCCCACAAAGTTCTGATGTATACCTGATTAGGTCCCGGGGATTTATCCAACTTTGTGTTTTAAGACATCCAGCATGCCTGTTTAATATGGGCAGTTTTCAAGATATCACTTTATATTTTTCCCAAGTTCTCTAGATTTCATATCCTTCTCCACAAAAAACACTGACACGAAATACTCATTTAGTATCTCACCCATCTTCTGTGGTTCAACACACAGGTAGCCTTGCTGATCTTTAAGGGGCCCTCTTGTCTTCCTAGTTACTCTTTTGACCTTAATATATTTGTAGAATCTCTTTGGATTCTCCTTAACCCTGTTTGCCAAAGCTGCCTCATGTCCCCTTTTTGCCCTCCTGGTTTCCCTTTTGAGTATACTCCTACTGCCATTATACTCTTCAAGGGATCCATTTAAACCCAACTGCCTATACCTGACATATGCGGCCTCATTTTTCTTAACCAGAGCCTCAATTTCTCTAGTCATCCAGCATTCCCTACACCTGCCAGCCTTGCCGTCCACAAAAATGGACCCCATATCTGCATGTGTTTCTGCTGAATGCTCTGGTTTCCTCCCAAAGTCCAAAGATATGCAGGTTTGTGGATTGGCAGTGCTAAATTGTGCGTAGTGTGCAGAGATGTGCAGGCTAGGTGGGTTAGCCATAGTAAATGTGGGGTTACAGGAATAGGGTGCAGGTATGGGTTGGTGGGATGCCCTTTGGACATTTGGTGCAGACTCAATCGACTGAATGGCCTTTTAATGCACTGTAGGGATTCTATTGAGAGAGATGGAATTTCAAGATCAGAGCTCTGAAAGTAAGTGACCACTTGTATTATTGTGTGGCTATGCTCACACTGCTGTTCCTCTGAAAAAAATTAGTATTCACAAAAATAGCACTTCAATCAGAGTATGACCTGGGGGCAGTAACAATTATTTAAGTGTAACTTAGAACAAGTACTAGCAGTTTGATGAGTAAGGCAGTAAGTTGAGGAAGGAGGTGCTTTTTAGCCCAAGCTCTTGAGGGGCATGAGACATTCAAAAAAAGAGGAAAATTAGCTAAGGGTGAAGGAGTCACACTGGATGTGGAGTTCATAGAATGTTTTCAAGAGTTTCTTTTTTCTTAACTTATTCATTCATGGGACACTAGCAAAGTGAATAGCAAGTGTTTCTATGGCTATTTGAAAAGAAAAACAGTCAGTAGTCTTGGTGTTCCCAAGAGTGAGAATGGGGAGTTAATATTAAATGATAATGATGTGGCAAGGCAAAATGAATAAATATATTGCTTCTGTATTCACTATAGAGGATGCAAAAACCATTCCAATAATAACTGAAAGTCAAGAGTTAAAAGAAAAGAGGAACTTGGTGAAAATGCAGTCACTAAGGAAGTGATACTCAGAAAACTGATGGAGCTGTGAAATGACCAGTCACTTCATTATAGGGTCTTAGAAAGAGGTTACTAATGAAGTAATAATACATTAGTTAAGATGGAAGACATCATGTTCTATCAACGGCTTTGACGGCAGATGAAGGCTGCAGCAGTAAAGGGATCCCCAGTCGTCAAGCTTTCCTCGCCGCTGGAACTGGATCAAACTTCTGTCGAGAACTATGTATCTGCTGATGTGTAACAGTGTCCCATTGTTAAAAGATGTCCCAACCAAGTCATCTACCTAGATTGTTACAGAGATAGTAGGAACTGCCGATGCTAGAGAATCTGAGATAACAAAGTGTAGAGCTGGATGAACACAGCAGGCCGAGCAGGAAAGCTGATGTTTCGGGTCGAGACCCTTCTTCAGAAATCAAGGGTCTTGACCCGAAACATCAGCTTTCCTGCTCCTCTGATGCTGCTTGGCCTGCTGTGTTCATCCAGCTCTACACATTGTTATCTCATCGACCGAGATGGAAGTTTCTAGGTGGAGAATCATACTGTGTGATTGCTGATGATAGGTTGGTGTTAATTTTCCAAAATTCTCTAGTTTCTGGAAAGGGTTAATCAGACTGAAAAATAGCAAATATGATTCTTTAAATGAAGGAGGAAGGTAGAATTCTGATGAAGGGTCTAGGCCCGAAACATCAGCCTTTTTGCTCCTATGATGCTGCTTGGCCTGCTGTGTTCATCCAGCTCTGCACCTTGTTGTCTCGGATTCTCCAGCATCTGCAGTTCCTACTATCTCTGATACTATTTAGGCCAGATAGCTTGATGTCTTTCATGGAAGATGTTGGAATGCATCATTTAAGGAGCTTATAGCTTCAGACTCAGAAAAACCCAAGGTAATTGTAAAGAGACAGCATGATTTTATGAAAGGGAAATCGTGTTTAACCAATTTAGTGGAGTTTTTTGAAGGCATAACATGCACCATGATAAAGGGAGTCTGTAGATATAATGCAGCTGGATTTTCAGAATGCCTTTGACAAGGTGCCACCAAAGGTTATGGTGTGAAGAAGGATTGCATGAGTTAATGGTGTAGGGTGGCAACATGTTAACATGGATGAAGATTGACTGGCAGGGAAAAAAAGAGTCTGCGTAAATGAGTGTTTTTCAAATTGGTAGCATGTGCTGAGCTGGGCCCCCGCAGGGGTCTGTGTTGGCATCAGCATTTTGAAGTTTATATCAACAACTTATTTGAGGGGAAAGGTGGCATGGTCACTAATTTACAAATAACGCATTTTCCTGCCTATCTGTATGTTGTTTAAGAGGACGTGAGTATTCTGATGATTGTGGATAGGTTGTGACTGCGCAAAAGGTTTCGAAGATGGGGTATGAAATGGGGAGATGTGAAATTAATCAATTTGGCAGGAAGAATCAAACGGCTGTACGTTAACAACTGCAGAATTCCAAAGTGTATAGGGATCTTGGTATTGATCTAGTGCATGAGCCACAAAATGTTAGTGTGATTGCACAGCAAGAAACTAAGGCAGCTAGTGGAATGCTATCCTTTACTAAATGACAAATTGAACGTAAAATTAAGGATGTTGTGTTGCAGGTATGCAGAGCACTGGTGAGAGAATATCATGAACACTGCAATTTTGGTATCCTTATTTACAGAAGGATATATATGCATTGGAGGCAGTTGACAGGAGGTTTAGTAAGATTGGTACCACTTATCTTCTGAGGATAGATTGGTTGGACTGGGTTTGCATG